ATTGATTACAGAATCAAGAAGTTGCCATCTGAAGTATAAATTTGTTTATTTTTTACAGATTTATTTGATCAAGTTCAGATTATTTTTCCATATAATTCATTTTCCATCTTCATTAGTTTAATGTCTGTTTAACGGTACTGTCTAATAAATTATTACACAGAACTGTTAAACAAAGTAAACTGTATACAAAAATAGTGTTTGCTTTTCTATCATTGAAGTTGCCATCTAAAGTATGAATCTGTTTATTTTTCAGATTTTTTTAAAAATCAAATTCAAATTTTTCTAATAATTCACTTTCAAATAATTTGTTACCAATTTTGTAAATATTATTAAAAAATAAATACATAAATCTGTTTAAGGATTAATTTTTTTTTATCAAGTTCTACTTATTTTTTCATGCAGTTCTCTTTCAAATAATGTATTTCTAATTTTAATAATTAATTATTATTTTAATAATTAATGTATTAATAATTTAATAAATTACAGAATCAAGAAGTTGCCATCTAAAGCATAAATCTGTTTATTTACCCAGATTTATTTTATCAAGTTCAGGTTATTTTTCCATATAATTCATTCGCTGTTTTCATTAGTTTAATGTGTTTAACAGTTCTGTCTAATAATTATTATACAGAACTGTTATAGAAAGAAAGCAAACTGTATACAAAAAAAGTGTTTGCTTTTCTATTATTAGTAATATATTGGTTAACACTATAATACTTTCTCATCTACCGTCAGCATTCAGCAAGCACGCATTTATTTGTAAAAAATACTATAATAGGATTACAGAATCAAGTTGCCATTTGAAGTATAAATCTGTTTATTCTAATTATTTTATCATGCAATTCACTTTCAAATAATTTATATCTAATTTCTAAAATTCTATGTAAATATATATAATTTTAGCAATTGTTATGCATGTTTTTACTATCTTTAAACCAAATAGTGTGATATCATATATATATATATATTTTTTTTTTTGCCATATCGAACCACTTGGCGTTACATTACATTAGTATTTTATACAGAAATAAGGGATTTGATTATGATTAGGAGTTATTTTCTCTTACCCAAGCGTGTGGCCACCTCATCCAGAGAAATATTGATGCTTTCAGAGGTTTCTGGGTAATCAGGGTACAAGGCCAGAAATTTCTGACACAAAAGCCCCAAACTCTTCTGTTTACGGCTGGGTCTCCTCTCAGAATCGTCTACCGCTTCATACTGCAATAAAGAGAGATAAAACCAGCTAAAACTATTGAACATATTAAGATACTGAACATATTTAAGATGAAATGCATGTTCTAAGCTGCTGTTGATAAGAGTACCTCAAGTTTCCAAACATTACACTGATTTAGACTTCTTCTTTTGATACCTGACACGAGTCGTCGAGTTCTTCCTCTTCATCCTCCTCTATAGCCTTCTCTTCATTTTCAATGGGTCTGAAGAGGGTTTTCTTCATCTCTCTGTCGCGGATATCTGGGCTGGCGGCGCTGATCAGCATTTTCAGGTTGGCTGTTGGGGTCCAGGGGTCCGGATGGACCCTCTCTGTGTGTTTGATGGGGGTTATATGGGTGATATCTGGGCTGGAAACTCTCTTATGTCCGTTCACAGACTCACACTTCAGTGGGGTCATTTTCCTTCTGTCCATGCAGATGTTCTCCTGAAATCAGGCTATTCGTTAGACATCAAATGAGGCAGGAGATGCACTGTCATATAATAATGCTTTATTACATTTAGATCTCTTACTTTTTGGTCATTCATGTTGCCAGTATCACCTGAGCCTGTCTTATTCACTAGCGTCCTCACACTAAGCAAATCCTTTAAAGTTAAACACTTCATCTCCATCTAAAAAAAGAAAAATGAATCAGTCATAACCAGTACATTTAAGCTATCAGTAAATTAGTTTATTACCGAATTATGTTATTACATATGAATGACACTGTTAAATTAATATTAACTTCTGCATTGTTAACATATAATACCAAAAATGTTACGTTATATAGTATATATCTGCATAAATTACATATCTGAATATAAATAAACTGATGTGTAAAGTATTAATGTGATGTTTGTTACTAACTAATTAAGTTATTATAACATGTTGCCAAAAGTTATTCAAATACTTCTAGTAAAAAACACTGCGTTATTATCTTGGGTATTATATTACATAATATAATATTAAGTAAGATTCATATGACTTAATCTTAATGACTAATGATCACGTTCTTAAAAAGTGATCTGAGATCTGATGATGGTGGAAAGATTTTGGCGCAAATATCTTCACCAGTTGCCTGGTAACCAAACCAGATTCTCAGAATAAAAAATATGATGATTAAACTTTTAAAGTAATTTATATTGATATGATTGTCACAATATTTTATATATTTTATTTTACATTATATTGTAGGAGCCCAGCAGCATGCTTATGATATAAAAGTCCTTAAATAAAAATCCTCTGTTTTTCTGATTATTTGAATACTGGTAAAATGTCTGCCAGTGAAAGTCAAACTTGAGTTTAAGGAGATTAATTTACATTATTGTTTTTATATTAGATCATGCAAGTCAGATTTAACCTTATATTCTTACCTTAAAGTTCCGTCCTTGGAATAGAAAAATCCTAAAGACGTAAATAAATCCTTTGCAAAGGTGATCGTTCCTTTTCCTCCTTAAATGAACATAATTTTCTCTCTAAATAAGAAGATCTGAACTAGTAATCTTCTTATTTCAGTCGTACCGATGGTCAGGCGAGTAGGAATCACCCGCTAAAGCTTGTTTTCTGGCGCTCTGAAGAGTTACACCCTCCCTCAGCCAATCACGTTGCCGCTATGCAAATATATCGACGGTGATTGGCCGAGCTAGGAGGAAATGCCGCAGAGCGACCGTCGTAGCCAATCAGAGACGCGTTCTGACCAAGCCTGTGGGGGTTTGTTGGCGGGGCGGTAGGCGCGCTCTTCATTGATCTGCTTCTGCGGTTATTGCAGGCGCGCCTGAAGTTTTAAAGGCGCCGTTGTAACTCAGCGGGGACATAATTAATCATCACAGGTGATTAATTGACATTAAATAATTGCCGAGTGTCCCCTGACAGATATTAATGACAAGCTCAGGCAGGAACAAAGGTGAGTGACACAGGTGGGGTTTCGGCGCGACTGAGGGTTTTGTCGCGGGAAAGAGTGTAATATGAGAAGATACCCCACACCCACAAACTACCCCCACATGAGCGTACTTTCAACGTCATAACCACAGAAATCGAATAATATATCTAATAATAGGATGTATCTAACTAATGAACCTGTATAAACCAAATAAAACCGATATGTATCAGTCATCACAGTTCAAATGTCATAAAACATGCATATATGCATGTATGCACACACATTATTGCTTAAAACGAAACTAGAAAACTAAATATGTATGAGTAAATATGTAAAATAACTATGTAAATTTGATCAATATCATATAGCGTTCATTCATTCATATAGTGTATGTGTTTTCACTTAAGTTTGTTGTATTTCCCTCTTAATGCACTCTGTTTAATAATTTATATTGTGTTGTATGTTTTAAAAGCTATCAGATTATTGCTTTTTTTAAATTATTTTAGTTTTCAAGCCTCTTTTATCTATATTCAAGGTCTTCATCCTCTGACTGCTTTTGTGAGAGCTGAAATACCATAAGATGCTGGGTAAGACTTAATTTCCATTTTACATGGATTTTAATAATCTTAAAATAGCTGTATGTAAAATATCTTGGGTTTGTTTGGGTGCATGTTACATCATCTTTAATGCCATTTATATGTCATGATCAGTTATTTATATGAGATCAAATATGCACTGGTGCACTATGGCAATGTGAAATATTTCAGATTAACGGTCTGTCTGAGAAGCACACAAAATTAATTTAATTTTTCAAGGAGCGGTTAGTCAAGTGGATGAATCACATTTGCATGATTATGCAAAACTGGAGAGAAAGAGAAGCTGAATTAATGTTTTAGAGCAGCATATTACTGGCAAGCCCACAGAAGGCACAAATTAAACAATAAAATCTGGGATTGTGCCATGTAGGTCAAATAAAACAGTGTCAAAAGAGTGTAAAGTGGAGATAGACATGAAAAGAGGATCTCTTGTCTCTGAAGATGGGCTGAAGTGGCCCCTGGTGGCAAAGGAAAGACTTTGAGGATTCACAGACAGGAAGAAGAACTGAACCAGAGCCGAATATTAAGAGGCAGCTTAATATTCACCAGGCCTACAGTAATACAGCTAACAGCCTGTTATGTACTATTATTAAACAATGCTACGACTCTCAACTATTACTTAACATGCTTCTGACTTAAAGGATCTCAAAAACACCATCTATTGTTATTTAAAATCGTATGATAGTGATAAATACATGTCCTTTTTCAAAGCAACACTGTCATTTTCCTTTTACTGTTTTATATATAATAGTCAACATTTGAAGTGGATCAAGAAAGTTAATCAAAGTTGTCCGCATTTTGGTTTTAGGACAACTTTAGGACAACTTTGATGAAAAGTTCACTTCAAATGTTGACTAGTGTATACTAGCACCAACATAGGTTAGTATTTGGACAGTTAAATCACAATTAAAATGCCTAGGTGTCATTGCATTAATTTTATAATAAGTGTCCTTGCAAAAAATGCAATAAAAATTATCCAAACAATTTTTCTGTATCTGAAAATACGTGAAAAGCTAACTCGTCAGATATATAACTGTTATAGTTATAAATCAAAACCAGTGATGAATGAGACATCTGTGATGAAGGAATAAGACATTCTTTAATCAGCATTTACATAATGTGTTTAGTAATAATTTTGCACCCAGCAAAACAGATTATTTTTAAATATGTGTAGATTTGTTTAAAAGGTAGGGATTCTTATTAAAGCCAGTAGTAATCAAACAACCCATAAAAAATACATCGTAAACCTATACACATTAATTTCTGACTTCAACAAAATAATCATCATAATGTAATGAAATATAATAAAGACTTCTTTTGGTGAAGACAAGTGTATTGTTATGACGAATTGTCTACATTATTCTGATGAGACATGTCTCTGTTTGCAGATCCTATGAGACGCTTGTGGCCTTCTGCAGCAGCTGGAGCATGATGGGATACACCGGGGCAAACTCCTTCCCCTGCCTGGCTCGGACAGACTGCACATATGCCTCCAGCGCCCCCCTGCAACAAAGGAAAGTCACATTTTAATTACCTGCTTTCGCTGATCAAAGAAAGGCTGCAGTATTTTCTCCAAAGCACCACTAGAGCATGCTGATGTTGCACAGAGAAGTTCAGTTCTGGTCTGAACTACTAAATTATTACCATGAGTTTTCTATGAATAGGGATTTTAAAAAATAATTTTTTGGAACTTTGCACTCATAAAATGCAATTTCTTGCCAATGAAAAATTTTAGAGCTGAGCATAAAAAAAAAAAGTATATTAACTTAAGAAATGTCAGTGATTTTTCTATATATGGAAATCACAGTCAATAATTATGTATATGGTGTATGTATATATAATTATATATATATTGGTTTATATTAGTGCTGTCAAACGATTAATCACGATTAATCGCATCCAAAATAAAAGTTTTTGTTTACATAATATATGTGTGTGTACTGTGTATATTTATTTTATATATATATATATAAAGACACACACATACAATATATATTTGAAAATATTTACATGTATATATTTATAGTCATATAAATTATATCATATATAAATATATTAAATATATAAACATAACATTTTTCTTAAATATATACATGCATGTGTTTGTATTTATATATACATAATAAATATACACAGTACACACACAAATTATGTAAACAAAAACTTTTATTTTGGATGCGATTAATCGCGATTAATCATTATCGGTGTAAAGTTAGTTTATAGAGTTGATAATATTTATAGGTATAAAACACTTAAAAATCTAAACTCATATGTAGTCATGTTTAAAGCTATTGATTCTAAAACTTATTTATATTGCATATTATCTATATGTTTATTAATTTAAAATAAAAGCTTAATAATTACTATTAAACTAAGCTAGCTTGTGTAATGGATTAAGGGTATAATAATTATATAAATCATATAAAATAATTATAAAAAA